TATCCATATACAACTAACAAGTTTAAAACACAGAGATAAATCTACAACAACAAAACTTTTGGGAATAGAGTATAGGATTGTAGTCCAGGACACAAATGCATATAGGCTGAATGGCCCAGAAAACAAAGTAATAGTTTGTGGCTTCATTAGGACAGCTAAATCTATGAAAATTATTATGAAAGAGAATTCACTGGGGCTTTCAGAGCTTGCAGGAGCTGGCAACCCTGATGCAATGCTAGTCTTCAAGTCATAGTTGGCAGGTCTATCATCAGTTGTTAACTAAAAGTCTTAAAAATAGGGCAGGCTGTTTCATTGGATTGGTTCTGTGAGATAGTTTCTGGAGCCAGTGTCCCTAACCTGAGTGTTTTCTTCCCTTTTACACAAGATCCCAATAATGAATGTAACTGTACTGTATACTTAAAATGTACCAGTAAACTCAATAAAAAGAAAAAAAAAGGAATCAGAGTATGAGCTCTTTTGTACATGGTTTGTTTCACTCAGCTCAGTATAATATCGTATCCATCAGTAAACTTCTTTCTATTGATGAGTGCTATTCCATCGTGCGGATATACCACAATATAACAATATACATATTTATTGACCTGCTTATGGACATTTGGATCGTTTCTATTTAGAACCTACTACAAAAAGATCTGCTGAAGTTATTCAGGTAAACAATCTTCCTGCGGACATGTTTAAAATCCCTTGTTCACAACTGCACAATAAAATTATTCAGTCAACCATTAATGGACATATGATTATTTCAGTTTAGGGCTATTATAAAAAAATCTTATTTCATATATCTCACTTTGTGTTTGTGTAGTACTGGGTTTTGAACGCTGGCCTTACTGAACTACATCCCAGTCTTTTTTACAAATTTTTTTATTCTGAGAAAGGGTCTCACTAACTCATTGCATGTATTCTTAGGCATGTTTGCTCATATGCTATTTATTTTCCCTGGTTAAATACTAAGTAAAATTGCTAGATCATATGGTGAGTATACATATAGCCTTATTTTAAAAACTGTCAAACTATTTTTGCAGAGTTAATATGACATTTTACATTACCTTTAGTCAACAATTTTTTGGAGCTCCAGTTGCTCCAAATCTATACAGTCACATGTGAATTTGAGCCATTGTAGTAGATGTGCAGTGGTTTTAATTTTTATGTCCCTGATAATTTGCATGTCCATGCATTTATTAGCAATTTGTGTTTCTTTTCCAAAGTGTCTGTTAAAATCTTATGACCAATATTTAAATAGCCATCTTTGGTCATATTATTTAGTTGTACGAGGTAATCATATAATCTAGATGCAAGTCCTTTGTCAGATATATGTATTGGGAATGTTTTGTACGGTTTTTTTTTTTTTCATTTCTCTGAGTAGACCTTTTTAAAGATGATATTCCATTCACCCAGTTTTGATGGCTCATTATTTCTATACCTTACTCAGGAAATCTGATTAAAAGAAGGTTGCAGTTTCTCTAGTTCTTACTTCCATAAAATTTACAGTTTTAGCTTTTACATTTAGATCAATGATTTCAAGTTAATTTTGGGGTATATAGTATGAGGTAGAACTGTCCACCTACTTGAATAATTATTGAATAGATTTCTGCTGCTTTGCATAACTCTCACCTTTCCAGAGCCATTTCCTGAAATGTCAGCTTCTGCACACTCCCTTAACTCTGAGGATCTGTACTTTCAATTTATTTATGCCACTGTGCTCTCCTTGGGACTTCCTTCTGTACAATGAGGCCTTAAATTATTCTTCTGAGTAGAAATCCAGAATTACTGTAGATCTTACATTATTTTTCCCATTTCTCAGTTATCATAATCTGTCTTTATTATTCAAGGTCTTAAATTGTTTCGTTGTTTTGTCCAATTTTCCATATCTTTGTGAAAGCTGACTGAAGCCTGGCTACAAATGGAAGCCTTTGCACTTATAACTTAAACAATATTATCCTTTCTAAAGGGCCTCCACAAATAGGTCTATGGCAGTGGTAGCAAACCTATGGTATGCATGTTATTGTGCTTTTCTTTTAAAATAAAAGATGTTAATGTTGAGTTGTTCTTTTCTCACCTAAAATCTTAATATTCAGGTTTAATGTAGTGTTGGCACTTTGACATAAGTGGGCTCTTGGTTGATGTTAGGCACTCATCTCTAAAAGGTTCATCATTACTGGCCTATAGTGAACAATTGTAGACACACTCATCAACACTGATTATCATTTACATATTTTTTCCTGTCAGATACTGTGTAGTTTTTTTTGTTCTGATATAACAAAATACCACAGCAGGATCAATTGATACAACAAAAATTTATTGTCTTGTGCCACTGAAGACCACAAGTCCAAATTAATGGGTAAGAGAGGCATGTTCACTTTGAAACCTGTAGGGGAATTTATCTTTGTCTCTACCTAGCTCCTACTGGTTTGCTGACAATCTTGGCCTTCTTTGGATTACTTGTCTTAACTCAAATTTCTACCTTTGTAATCACATAACATTTTCCTTGTATTTTTCTGTTTTCTTATGGCTACACCGGTAATATTGGATTAAGAGAGACCACTCTATTTGATTGTGACCTCATATTATCTGATTATATGTGTAAATAAACCAATTTCCAAATAGGATCACATTCTGGGACATTAGATGTTAGAATTTCAACTTTTCTTTTTTTGGCTTCCTAACCAAAAAAATATATACATAAAAAAAAGAAAAAAATTAGTCTTTCAAGAAAAAGAAAGAAAGAAAAAACAAATTAGATCAAATATCCATATACAACTAACAAGTTTAAAACACAGAGATAAATCTACAACAACAAAACTTTTGGGAATAGAGTATAGGATTGTAGTCCAGGACACAAATGCATATAGGCTGAATGGCCCAGAAAACAAAGTAATAGTTTGTGGCTTCATTAGGACAGCTAAATCTATGAAAATTATTATGAAAGAGAATTCACTGGGGCTTTCAGAGCTTGCAGGAGCTGGCAACCCTGATGCAATGCTAGTCTTCAAGTCATAGTTGGCAGGTCTATCATCAGTTGTTAACTAAAAGTCTTAAAAATAGGGCAGGCTGTTTCATTGGATTGGTTCTGTGAGATAGTTTCTGGAGCCAGTGTCCCTAACCTGAGTGTTTTCTTCCCTTTTCCATGGTTCTATGGTTCCAGATTTTGTTTCAGTGGGAAATAGTAGGTATAACTTAATTTTGCATTAAACATTTCAAAACATATCATGTATCATGAAATATAGATTGGCAAATTGTGGAAAGTTGTAGAATTTGAGAATTGCAAAATAATAAATTTGTGTCAGCTGCCACTATATTTGTTAAGACAGCAATAGAAAACTAATATAACCTATTTATTTAATCTTGATTTTACCCCAGGGTTAAAAGACCTTCCATTCTGAGAACATATAATCTCTATTTCTTGAACAAGTGAGGATCATATTACCAAGAAGGAAGGTGTGGGTAGCAGGGAGAATAGCAATGAGCAGTGCCTAGCACAAATGACTAATCTAGATTTGATCTGTTTCCAGTCCAGCCTCAGATTCTACCCTATGCTGCATGACTGGGAGTTCTTATTCTAAAGGATGTATCTTAATTACTTTCCTCATTGCTGAGACACAAAAATGGACATCCTCAACTTAAGTTTATTGTGGCTCATTTTGTAGAGGTTTCAATATATGCTTGGGTGGCTGCAAGGCAGGAGAGTATGGCAGAGGGGAGTATTGGAGGAGAAACTGTTCTCATCATGGCAGCTGCAGGGAAGCAGTGTCAAGGGAGATGGGAAAGGAGATGCACATTCCAGGTCACGCCCACAGTGACTTGCCTCTTCCAATAGAGCCTTATCTCCTAAGAGGAAGTCAGCTATAATGCCCTATAATTCAATCATTTTCAAAATGCCCATTTATGACATATGAGGCTTCAAGGAAATATCTACATATAAACCATAACAAGTGATCTTCTGCTCCTATGCTTTTAGTAATTCTGTTCCTTCTACCTTGAATATCCATAGCCTACTGCTTTTCATTGTGTCATTAACCTATGTCTGTTAGTCTTCAAAACACGGCTCAGACATATTCTCTTCCAGCAAACTTTCTCTTCTAGTTAAAAGTATAGTCTTAAATTCTGTTTCTGACTTCTGTCTTTACTGAAATTGGGAAATATGCCCTATCAAATTGAGTGTTGACCATTCTCTCCTTTTTTGTTTTGTGAGCAGCTACTACTGTTTGAACATAGTAACTGCTCAATATTTGTTAAAACTTAATTACACCTAACAGTATTCATGAAATTATTCCTTAAATTATGATTATTCACATTTTTACTGAATTGTACTCACTATAAACATATACTTTTCATATTTTACATATTTTTAAAACACAAAGTGGTTTTAATGTCCTAAATGGCCAATACTTGTTAAAGGACCTGTCTATACAGGCAATTCTGGTCCCTTATGACTTAATTCAAGAGAAACCTGAGGGGTTTTGTTCTGTTTTTTAATGATCCCCTTTGGTGTTAGTAATCGAAAAAAAAAAAACTGTCCCTGTTTTCTTTTCTTTTCTTTTTTCTTTTTTTTGTCCCTGTATTCTTGCTAAATTGTATTGAGTAAAGATTACAGTAATTTTAATTCATTTACCTCAAAACAAAAGCAGAGGCCCAAAGATCTGTTAGGTCTCAGCACAAGGAGTAGGAACATCATACTAGACCTCTGTAGGCCAGTACTGTGTCAAGGGGTCTTCTGGGGAGGCTGATGGGATTGGACCGGGGTGCACGAGTGGGGGATGAGGTACAGAGAAACTCTTTAACCTAAATCATAACCAAGGGAGCACGCTTTAAAAGGGAGAATGAAAGGACAAAGGCCCATACTGTACCTGATTAAGGACAGAACCCAAGAAAGCAATATCCTGAGGGTACCCACTCTCCACTCCCTCAATGGGGTAGGCAAAGTCCAGAACTACACTTCCCGGAAAGCAAAGCGCCGGGAGAGGGCTGACGTGAATTATTACCTCAGGTTGGTTCGGGCGTTTTCAAGTTTGATTATACACTGTAAACTCCAGTTATGCGTTGGATGGCTTCCGCCTCATCCTAATTGGCTTGGTAGCCTCTTCGTGTGAAGGCGGCTCTGATGTCACTGGCAGCTGTTGAATGGCGGCGGTCGGCCGACCAGCCTCTCGGTAGTTGAAGTCCGTGCTGGGATCGGAGAGGTAGCGTCTAGAGCTGGATTAGAGCCTTCGGACTACATTTCCCAGAGGGCAGCGGGGCGGCCGGCGGTGCTGGGGCGGAGATTTGTGTACTGTGCAGTCATCCCAAGCCTCTTAAACGGGACTGTAATGGCCGGAGAAATGACGATCTTAGGTTAGTGCCCAACGGGTTCCTGTTCTCTTTCGCCCTGTCGGGCGTTGAGGAGGTGGGCATGCCAGAGTGGGCGGGGTGGTTGTTTCACCTACTGTATCCCTATGACGCAGTAGGAGAGAAATTGGAAAGGTGACTTACAGAGGGTTTGGGGATGTTCGCAGCAGGTGGGAGCGTTTCTTTGAGGTATGGGCCCGAGTAGGCCCTAATAAGAGAACTGGCTGCGTCTGTCTAAAGGCCTTCGAACTGAGCGACGTGTTCTTTCCAACCCAAACTCAGCTTAGAATTACTGGCTGAAGTCGAGCCTCCCAAGACCCCTTTTGTAGAAGAGAGGGGAAGGCGCAGCATCAGCATCCGGAGCTGTAGGCTTTTAGGATGTTGAGTTTGAGGAGATTCGGGCTCCGGTACGCTTTACACCAAATCGCCTTGGGAATTACCTTCCTCGCCCAAAAGTGATGAAATGCATCTGGTGCAAAAGGAAAGTGGGATTGGCACTAGGTTTCATTTTTTTTCGAGTGAGGATGAACTGACAGTAATACAGTCCTGCAGACTGACGTTTAGGGTGTATGTAAGGTGAGTGGTAGCAGGTGTATAGCACCTTCTGAAACTACAGAAGGCAGTTTTAGCTTTACAATAACAAAGCTTTTGATGTGAGAATTTCAATAAAGGAGTTCCTTTTTAGTAATGATGATTAAAGATGTTTAGAAAGCTATAAAATTAAGTATCAATTAATCAAAGAATTCTACCATATCTGGCTCTTGCTTCAAATGGTTTTTCCTGTGACTATCGGCAGTATTATTATTGAAATAGAATACATTTTATTTCTTTCTTCTCTTGTTAGTGAACTACATAAACACACAGGCTTTTTGTGTTGTCATTACTTCATTTTAAATTATAGCCAGTTTACATTATGAAAAACTTGATGTATGAGAGAAGTGTTACTAGTCCTATAAACTAAAATATTTTGAGATTTATATTTTTGGTCTTGTTTCACGAAGTGATAATAAGAGTTCTTTGCTAAAGTTATTTAGTAAATTGTAGTTGTCTGATAAAACGTATCTTTTAATTTACCTATTTTCAGGATCAGCCGTTTTGACTCTCCTGTTGGCTGGCTATTTGGCACAACAGTATTTACCATTGCCCACTCCTAAAGTAATTGGCATTGACCTGGGTACCACCTATTGTTCTGTTGGAGTGTTTTTTCCTGGCACAGGAAAAGTAAAGGTAATTCCAGATGAAAATGGTCATATCAGCATACCCAGCATGGTGTCCTTTACTGACCACGATGTGTATGTGGGATATGAGAGCTTAGAGCTGGCAGATTCAAATCCTCAAAACACAATATATGATGCCAAAAGATTCATAGGTAAGATTTTCACTCCTGAGGAACTCGAGGCTGAAGTTGGCAGATACCCATTTAAGGTAAGAGATTAATCTAAAATCTTTCTTAATGTCTGTTACACCTGCTTCAATTTCTGTTTTGATAGCACATTACAAAACATCCTGTCTCAACTAGCTTAATCTCCATGAAAGTTACATTAGTTCACGTAAGAAATTCCACAGTTGCTCCACGGTGGGCTAATTCATTGACTCCCCAGTGCTATCAAGGATTTAGAGCCTTAACACGTGCTTCTCTGCCATCCTCAGAATGTCTCTTTGGCTCTTTCCAGGTAGCAGGATTGTTCATGAAACATCATGTACTTACTATACATAAGTATTGTTTGTGTGTGTGTGTATACATGATTATATACATAAAAAGAGCACATACTAGACATGATGTTTTCTGACTTATTTGAAACTCATTATTATGTCATATATGGTTCGGAAGTTTGCATCATCTGTAATGATTGTGTGAAATAACTATTTTATTTAATGATTAGTCCCCTATCCGTATACAATTTCTTATTTTCCTGATATCACAATAATGTTGGAGGTTGGGCAAGTATGCACTTGTAGGTTTGTTACTTTGTTCTTTTTTAGCTTCTTAGTCTTATAATCTTCATGTAATGACAAAATAATCTAAAGCTATACATGTCCTCTAAATTAAAGTTTTGGGTACTTTACTCATCTAAGAGTTATTTTATGTTATAATTTTTAATTGATCTGATTCTGTTATTTGTGATGGTATTGATATCTTTGCATGTCTTATTAATAATATCTGTGTAGCTTGGTTTAATTTTTCCCAGCCTGGTGAAATAACTTTGTAGGAAATAAGATTTTCTTGATTGAAGCCCATTTATAAGATTTGTAATAAAAATTCTTTAATTCCTCAGGTTGATTCTCTTTACTATTGCTATTAATGTAATTTGTTGGTAAAACTAGGCTAGTATGTTCTTAGAGTTAATCTAGCTTTTAAATGAAAACCAGCATTAGCCTGGATAATGACTTAACATACAATACATACTTTCATGGAATTAAGAAGGTAAGTGATATTTGCTTCTTGGAGAACATAATAAAGTACTAAAATTTTTCTTTTAGATAGCTATTAGTTTTAGAAACAAATTAAATGGGAAAAAAGAAAGAAAAGATGCTAAATTACAGTCATGGTTGAGCAATGTTATCCCTTATACATTAATCTACCTTTATCTGTGATTTTGCATTTTACAGTTTCACTTTCCACTATCCAAAAATATTGATGCAATATTTCAGAAATAAATTATTCATAAATTTTAAATTGTGCACCATTCCTAGCATGACGAAATTTTGTACCATCCTATTCAGTCCCACCTAGATTGTATCATTCTTTTGTCTGTTGTGTGTGCTGCCCATCCATTAGTCACATAGTTGTAGCCATCTTGGTTATCAGATGAGATATCCATTTACTTGTGTTCAAATAATTATCACAAAATGTAAGAGTGGAAAGAGTGTAGCAAAATATAGTGGTAAATAGAGAATAGGAAGTGGGCCATTGTGACCAGTGCAGTTAGGAAGTCACAGATCTCCAGCGAAAGGTATTATGATACTTAGGAAGTTCTACTGGCAATTTAGAAATGCCATAAAATGCCTTCTTTAAGTGAAAAGTTAGCCATTGAAAGTTGGTCTTAATACATATCCCCTGCAGATAAAACAAAGCATTCTTTCATTCATTAAACAAATATGTAATAAGAATATGTTGTAATAAATTTTATTGTGCTCTTGAAAACTATAATGTGAATTCATTTTGTAGATTTTTAAGTGTAGCATTTTAATAAGTTCTAGTCTTATCAAATGACTGGTAGATTATAATAAATGGTATAACTTTTAAAGATAAAAGTAAATTTTTATTAAGTCTACATATATTTAACTATATATGTACATAGATACATACTTCTACTTTTCTTTTAATATTCTTTACAGGTGTTAAACAAAGATGGAATGGCTGAGTTTTCCGTGACAAGTAATAAGACCATCACCGTTTCCCCAGAATATGTTGGTTCGCGACTGTTGTTGAAATTAAAGCAAATGGCAGAGAAATATCTTGGAATGCCAGTTGTTAATGCTGTCATTTCTGTACCAGCAGAATTTGACCTGAAACAGAGAAGTTCAACAGTTGAAGCTGCTAAACTTGCAGGTAACAGCACCCTTTCCTGAGTTGTATTTTTCTCAAAATTTTGTTTAGTTTGAAAATCTAATGTGGTAGATTTATCATTTTATAAATCACAGATGTAGGCACATAAAATAGGTGGTAGGTAAATTAGGTGAATTTTTATATAGATTTTAAATGATCATTATGAAAGCTCTTATCAATTTGCATATTTCAAAAGAAGAGCCTATCAGACACATGACAACGGCTGAGAGAGAATACACGGACACATATAGTGAGGGATTTTTTCTTCTGAAACTCAGTGTTAAAGCGAATGTAATGTTTTCAGAAAAAATCTGAAGCAAAAGATAATTCATTTAAGCTATTCAACAAATACTGAATCCCTTAGCAAATAACAGGTAAATCCTGTTATGTAGATCATATTTGAAGGGAAGCAGAATAAGCATAAAATAAACATAAAATCAAGTTTAATGGTTAGGTTCAACGTTGACCTTATGAGGAAATTTGATTCAATTCTCATCCATTTGGGTTTGTGACCAGGGTCACAGAATGAAGTTCGTGAAGCAAGATACCTCTGTATTGACATTTTGGGCAGGATAATTCTTTGTTGCAAGGAACTATCCTGTGCAACAGGCAGTTTTCAGCATCTCTAGTCTCTACTTGGTAGATACTAGCTGCATCCTTTCCCCCCAAGTGATAATAGTAAAATATGCTTTCATTCATTGCCATGTCTCCTGGGAAAAAAATACTTCTAGTTGAGAAACACCAATAAAGATGTATATGCAAAAATAACATGCTGTACAAAAGAAGAGCAGGGTGAAGGGATTGCTGGTGATGGTCAGGGGATGGGGACCTTAAGTTTTATTCTTTTCCTTAAGTTAGTCAGGAAAGTTTCTTTCAGCAAGACTTGACCGAAGTGAGGTAGTTAGCCATGGAGACACATGGAGGAAGTGGACAATATAGGGAATGGAAACAGTGCAACAAAATACAGTGGGAATTTGGTGGTATGATAAAGGATAGGAAGTTGGCTGGTGTGACCAGTACAAAATTATGAATTCACAGAGCTACAGAGAAAGGTATTAAGAGTTCTTTAGAGTTTGAATGTTGTTATGGCTCCTGAAAGATAATGTCTTTTTTTTTTTTTTTTTTTTTTTTT